GGAGAGGTCACTATGAGTGGGGTCCGACTTGACAGCACATAACAACAACAACATCATCAGTGCTCAGAGCGACAGAAAATTTGAGCTGATTGACACAAATGTTCCCTTTTGAGGTCTAACAGTGCAATGCTCTGCCTTCTTTCAGCTCTCATACTATAAATAAATGTCCTTTTCACAGTCTGCTTAGTGCCATAGTTGTCACTTTATTGTGCTTTTTGTTGGTGATTTCACAGTTTAAAGTGGCCCTCAACTGTAGGGCTAAAGTGCTATCTATTGTTCTTAAGCACAAAAAGGCTGGGAGAAAATATGTATTTACGTAAGCTTCATTCAGGCATGAGTATAATGCTGTTTGCCATGAACACACTGTTAAATTTATATTAAATAAGGAATCTTTTAATCCAGATATACATAAAGTTGCATATTGATCAGAGGAACCTAACCCTGTCTTTCCCCTAGAGCAGTGGTTCAATATTCACTAATTCATAGTGGCAACTTTGTAGAACATAACTACAATGAGTAAAAGGACTCAACTATATATGGCTTGCAAGTATTTCCTCCCCTTCTGTGCATTGTCACTTTACTTTCTTGATAGTGTTCTTTGAAGCACAAAGGTTTCTAATTTTCAAGTCCAGTTTTTTTGTTGTTGTTGTTTGTGCTTTCTGTGTCGTAAGTTTTGAAAGCAGCAAGTGTGAGTCTTCCAACTTTGTTTTTCTTTTTTCAAGATTGTCTTGGCTATTGAATCTCCATATGAATTTTAAGATCAGTTTGTCAGTTTCTGGAAAGAAGCCGGCTGGAATTGTGAGATTGAGTTTGTGCTGAATCTGGAGTTACAGTATTAATTCTTCCAATCTGTGAACGTGGGATATCTTTCCTTTTATTTAGATCTTTAATTTCTTTCAACAATGTTTTGTAGCTTTCAGAGTTTACATTTCTTGTAGTTCTGCATTTATTTTGTTAAACTTATTCCTAAATATTTTATTCTTTTTGCTGCTATTATAAATTGAGTTGTTTTCTTAACTTTACATTTGGATTGCTTATTGCAATCGTGTAGAAATGCAATTGAATTTTGTGTATTGAGCTTGTGTTCTGCAATCTCGTTGAGCTCATTTATCAGGAGCTCTGGTAGCATAGTGGCTAAAGCACTTGACTGCTAACCAGAAGGCTGGCGGTTCAAACCCACCAGCCACTCCTCGGAAGGAA